AATCCTTATTCTGCGTATAAAATTAACTAAGCAAGGGGGTGGGAGTTTGAGGAGTAAAGCACGGTAAAGCTCCGCTTCAGGTCACTGCACCTATACGGATTTTGCCAATTCTGCGTCTGGTTAAAAATATGAGCGATGTTCTTATCAGTAGCTGGTCTCGATGAAACTGTCTATTCTGCGTCTGGTTCCCAGTTGAAAATAAGGAGGAATGTTACAATCGGTCTCACGGTGAATGTCCCTTTAATGCTGATGTTTATATATAATATGGCGACTAAGAGACACTATATTAACAATAATAATTGTAATAATAACGGTTGGACACAACACCTCCCCCGTTGATGTAGAGGAAGCTGTGAATAATAAGAATGGCTTCCTCGTCTAAAAAATAACTTGAAATATCACATGTTCATTAATGGATTCTTCGTCGTTATATAATACAATAAAAAAAACATAATAAAAATTACAATATTACAATAAAATTCATGAAATTGTGAAATCTTTAATTTCCTCGTGTAGTAGATGTGTTAATTTGGCATGAAAATGTTATTTTTATTTACTTTCTATGTATTTAGTTTAATTCTGTTTCTGTCAAAGTCTATATATTCTCCATATTTGTTTATAAAATCTATTCCTAATATCGCGTCTCCATTTAGATTCGTTGAATCCGGTATTACTATAAATTTGTGTTTTAATAATTTACCATTTATTTCGATGTTACCTTGATTATTTGAAATTTACCTACGATACAATCAATTGAATCATTAAGTTTAGTAATTTCACATGATTTATTTAATTTACTTTCATTAATTAAAGATAAGTCCGATCCTGTATCAATTAAAAAACGTTCTTTGTTGCCTATATCTAATTTAAGTTTTACAGATGGTGATTTGATTTTGTTATCTTGTGTTTTAAAGTTTCTTGGAATATTTTTCCTACTATTCTTCTCTAAATGAGTTTTATTTTTATTTAACATATTATTAAAATTTTCTCTAAAATACAGCTTTTACTACTATGATTATTTTTTCCACATATGTAGCATTTTTCAAATTGAATTCTACAATAATTTGTACTATACCTATTTCTTCTATTACTATTTTGATTCTGATTTTCATTTATCATTTCTTCCTGGTTACAATTTGCATTATGTTCTTTTAATATATTTTCAAACATTTGCAATTTTAAATATAATTTATCTTGGCGAATAAGCCTTTTTACTTGAATTTCTTTATGTTCTGCAAAATCTAAAGCTTCTTCTATTGAATTTGGATATTTTCCTGTTACAAATTCTATAATTTGAGTTAATAGACCTAATTTGAAATATTCTAATAATTCTAACTTTAATAATTCGTCGTTCCTATCTGCTATATCGGAATTAAATGTATGATGTATGCTATATTTAATATTTTCTGCAATTTTATTGATTCTATTATAATATGAATATACTGATTCGTTTTTCTGCCGATGGCACAAATATAATATAATTCTGCAATGAGCTATATCTATCACTGGTCCAAATTTTCTCAATAATTGAAATTTTAATTCATTCCACTACTGTGGAATTATTCCCTTTCACTGTCTGCTTCCTGTCTTAAACTTGAACAAATTGTTGATATAAGTTGTTCTTATATATTTAATATAGATTTGTCTCTAAATAATCTATCACAATCTTCTAAAAATGTATCTATTGTTACTACGTTTCCATCATATTGATGATTTAGTACTTTATCTAATGCAAGTTTTTGTAAAAAAAATTGAATGTTTTGAATCTCCATTTTTATTTTATTTTATTCTGACCTAAAAAAAAATTTGTTACTACAGATATTATTTCAGTTTACCTTTCGTTTTATTTCTAATAAACTTTCACAGAAAACTGTTTTTATTTTATTTGTTTTTATAAAAAAAATAGGCCATTTATACAACTACAACAATCAGAAATAAAAATTCCACTTACATAAGTTTTTGATTCTTTTGTCTGCTTGCGAATTCTTCCGTCTTAGATCCAGGAGTTGGTTTACCCTCTGCTGCAAATGGCTTTGAGGAACCGGAAACTTGGCTTGAATCGTCCTGTGGTCTTGAAGATGCTGTTTGTAACGAGTCCGTTGTCCAGTCTCCAGAAATTGATTGACTCTCGTCGGCTCGAATGGCTTCAATCCAGGAATTGTTGACTTTCTGACGAAACTCGGTCACGTGTAGTTTGTACACCGCTGCCACCATTAATTATGTCGTTTCCCAGGATGGTGTGGGATATTTTCTTCTGTTGTCTGTTGTGGAGCCTTAGGTTTGGTAAATAATAAATTGAACGAGTTTTACTTGATATTTATTATTAAAATATTCGATACGACTTGATTCTTTTACGTTCTTCCTAAGACTAATTACAAATCCTTATTCTACGTATAAAATTAACTAAGCAAGGGGGTGGGAGTTTTAGGAGTAAAGCACGGTTTTGATATGACGCTCCGCTTCAGGTCACTGCACCTATACGGATTTTGCCAATTCTGCGTCTGGTTGAAAATTTGAGCGATGTTCTTATCAGTAGCTGGTCTCGATGAAACTGCTTATTCTTCTCAGCGGTCAGTCCACCTTTATCCTTTCTTTGGTTTTCCATAATAAGGGCAATAATAAATGATAATTTTAACACGTTTGTGGTGAAACAGTAGAATAAAAATAGAGTTAAACTAATTCGAAAACCGGTACTGGTGCATATTTGAAACAAATATATGTTTGTGTTTTACACTTTATAGACTACTCGTAAATAAAGAATTTCTATGGAACTTAACATCTGCGTTATATGAGGGCTAACGGTATTTAAATGCTTATATGCAATTCATAAAAAAAGAAAAAATTGCTAAGAATTAATATTTACAAACTGATACTAAAGGAGAGTTGAAATTCATGCATTATGAATATCTTCGCAGTTGCAACTAACGGTGTTCCAAAATGTTTAAAAAATAAAATGTAGTGCTTCTATTATATTTTATTCATCAGAAAAATGACAAATATAATTTGATTGACTTGTTTAATAAATTTAATAAAAAAAAATCTACGGCTTCAAGGCGATGCAACGAATTTAATCAAAACAAAAATTGTCATATGCACGTTTATGTTAAAATGTCTGCTTAGCAAATGAACTTTAGGACGAATGTGTGTAATGCAAGATTGAAGGTAACTTTTTTAAAACATTTTATTTTTTACTTTGCACATTTACAATAGTTACATTTGTTTGCTTAAAGAAGATAGATAGATTCCAGTGTTCGCTGATATTTTCTCTAAAAATAAGAATTGACCAAATAATTTGGAAATCTCTTTTTAAATTTGTTTCTAAAATACTATCCAGTGATGAAAAACCAGCTAGTTTAGATTATTAAGTTTATGTTAAGATTATTTATACAATAATTTAAAAAAAATAACAACTTAATGTAACTTATGCAATTTATTAATTAATTTAAGTGAAATCTCTAATTATTTTATTTATCTTTATCATCGTTTCAATATATTGAACAAAAGAGACAAGTCGTTGGCCGTGATAAAGTACATCATTAAATTAAGTTGAGTGAATATTTGAAAGTAACTTTTATTTTCTTGTTCATGGAATATTGTATTATTATTATATTTTGTACATTCATAATTCCAGATTATACAAAGCTTAATTTTTTATGCTTTCGATATATTTATTTGCGCTGTTTCACGTAATTATAATAGGACAGCGTAAAAGAACTGTCCGAGTTTTAATAATCTTGACATATTTACCTTTTTGACTGTAAGTCATTAAATTTTGAAAATAAATGTGACCAGAAGAAAATATGATTCTTATTTTTTTTATCTAACCCTAACAATGTTTGACGACCACTGGTTTAAATAGTTTATTATATATAAATATAATATTTTTCTATTCATAATTAATTCTATTCATAAAAATAGAAAATTACAAAGTGGTTTCAAATTTCTTACAACTTTTTTCGCAGGTCTCACAAAACCTCCGGTCGACTATAGTAGTAATCAATGTAGTATTGTGTTTTTATTGTTTTTATTGAAGTACAGTGGAACCTCGCTTAACGAGTTTATTCCGTTCCAAAATTTCTGGATTTTTACTCGTATAGTGAAACACATTTTCCTATAAACTAATGTAAATTACGATAATGCGTTCTTGCCGAAAAAAAAGTATAACTTTGTCTCGATTTTTAATGATTTGTGTACATTTTAATTTAATACATTTGTGTTTTGCATTTAAAGCAAACACAAATTATATTTGCAAAGTAAAGTCCGCTTTAAACAAAGATGACAGAGAAAATCGAAGATGGTTAATATATTCAAAAATACACATAATATGTGTACACAAGTTTTAAAAATGATACATCATTTTTAAAGGCGCGCAATCCAGGACTTCCCTTCTCACCGTCACTCGTTATGCGAAACATCGCTCGTTATCGCGAGGTCATTTTCCTTACAATTAAATTTGCTCATTAAGCGAAATGCTCGTTATGCGAGATGCTCGTTAAGCGAGGTTCTACTGTATATTTAAATCAATATCGTCTTTTTATTGATTTAAATTACAAATTATTACTCACTGAAATTCCAAAGTTATAATGATTCGGAATAAACAAGGAATTACCAAAAATGAAAGGGTTATTAATTTTATGTAGCTATATTTATTTTTTTATGAACACATTTGATATATTTTTTAAAATTGTAAATTTTAGTAATCATTACATAATTTTGGAACTAATTATGAAATCTGTTATTAATAGTAATGTAAAGTTTCAAGCATATTCTAACATAATGAAATTTTTGATATTTAAATCATAATTTCAAAGACTCAATAGAAGATTCATGCTCGAGATATTTGTGTTATTCAATTTCATCTTAAATGGGTCAATTAAGGCTTCTCTGAACGTTACGAATGAAGAAAACCGGTTTTTTTTTTAATTAGATTTATAACAAGTTAGAAAATAACATATATAAATTCACACCTATCTGTAGTATTTTTATTTGTTTTTCTTTAGGAAATATATGTGGTGGACAATGCTGCGGCAAAGATTCTGAGGCAAAGCTGAGGCAACATGGACAACATGTCTTCTCGACGATGCTCAGTCATAATTTTGTGTCTCTACAAGGACTTCTCAATTCTGCAGCCACGACATTACAAAGTAAGTGATTTCTCAATTCGATTATTCAACGATTATAATAACTTCTATATTATTACTGCTATTAAATGCCATTTGTATGTATATAAGCAATAATTTATATTTATTATTATTAAACACTTATTAGTTGTTTTACAAGATTAGGACATTAATATAATTACACATATTTAGACTTTTTGTTTGTTTATATTGTTTTTATGTAATTAAATTATCTATAACTTCCAAATGGCCTAATCTTAGCTGGATAAAATTATTATTTTGACTGTATATATTGACTGCAAATTAAAAATTGCCGTCTTTTTGTTTGTTGATTTCGATTTATACGACGTTGTTAGCGAATGTCGAAATGGAAGTTTTGAAATCAGAACAAATATTTATCTCCTATATGTTTATTAACATAATCAAACGGATTTGGTATGCAGAGGAAATCGTTCCTGTTTACAGCTTGAGATTAAGCAAGAATGTGATGATGGAGTACACGAGTTATCGTAAATATGTTCTACTATTGATGGTTTGCCTGATTTTTTTCTTACAGGTACCTCCGTAAAATACAGTCGTTAAGATGAAATGCCGTATTATGCGAATTCATGATATACAAAATAATGAATTAGAAACTGAATTATGTATAAGTATGACAAATATGTTTGTTAAATGATTAAAATGTTGATTGAATGTAGTAAATGGGACTTTTAGAGTTAATTTCAATTCTTTTGTATATATATATATATAATAGAAATAATCGCGAAAGCGATGGGTTCGATGACATGCTCAGGTCTTTTGCCAGAAGTATTTGGCATGTGCAACTACCGGAGAGAATTTCTATATTCGAATACGCAAATATTCGGCGAGCTACACTATTTGCATGGTTGTCCCATGGATGAGTATATTATCGACAACTATATTCTGTATTCTATAGAATGCGTAGGTAATTTGTTCAACAAGACCATTAACCATTGTCCATGACGAGTTTAATGATTATCTTGAGTCTCCAAACTTTTTACACCGTCGACCCTATATTGCAGTATTATTTATATTACATATATAATATAATATAATAATCATATTAATTTAGTAATTCAATAATATAAATAAAATGTTAGTAGTGTTTTAATAACGAACAGAAAAGTCATTTGGCGTGATAAAAATACATATAATATATACATTAATTCTTAATTAGGTAGAATACTGAATTAAACACCTCGCTACTAACTTTTATACAGAGTTACTCTGATAGGTGAAGTTATATTAATTTGTAATGCCCGTTTGTGAAGTAAAAATCAGTATAAATTCGATATGCCGTGTACTTTGTCTGACAACGAATATGGAATGTGGTATGGTCATCCCATTTCCCTTACATCTCCACCCTCGGAAGCAGAGAATCCCTTGATCGGGCATTCTGCGTGTTATTTTGTATGCCGCTCATTCTCATGCGCACATATTTCCCTATTTCTCTCCTCGTTTTTCTTTCTCTCTCTTTCTCTCGACTATCATCCATACATACTTTCTTGATTCTGTCTCTTACTCTTTGTGAGTTTGCGTACGTTTGTGCTTTATTCTCTCGTTGTCGAGAGACTTGTAGGTACATACGAACCTTTCCTATGGACTACTTTTTGTAAATTCCATTCTCAAAAACAGCGCGTTGTTTAGTTTTCTTTGGCAATGGTTTGAACCTATAGTCTGTTTATCTCAGAAACCTTCGTGATATTTTCTGTTGTATTTAAATAAATTCTTAGTCAAAAAAAAAGTTACATGAAAAAGGCATTTGCATTCATGATGCAAATTTAAAAAGCAATACGATTCTTTAATGTCACGTAGATTTAATAATAATATTAATATCAACGTATTGGCTACAAAAAGGATTACAACAAAAAATAAATAATATGCATATATGAAATGTCAAAAGGAATTGCTTTTAAAAAGAATTTAACAAAGTAACATAACATAATCTTTCACAAATTATTACTCAGATAACGCGAGGGACGGATAATATTTACATCGGTCACACGTTATCTATTTTTAACCCGAGAATAATAGAACAGTGATTCCCATTGTCCCGCTTGAAGATGAAGGGTATTTAGCTAGTGAAGAAACGAACATTTAAATTGAAATTTGCGATTTTGGCAAAATGTCTTCCATAAAAATGAAATTTTTGATGAGAGGAATTTATATTTTTAAAAATTTTCAATAATAAAAAAGACTGCTCTTGGTGGGTTTTCATTCTCATTTTCAACAACAATGGGAACTGTAGTGGTTGGAATATAGGTTGACACATAAAATAATGATAAGAAGTCTCTTATAACAATTATAAATAAATACTATAATGACTATAATTAGTTATTTCTGGTATATATTAATTAATATTTGATATTATTATATTGTAAATATGTTTTTTTATAGGTCACGTGGCGGAGCTAACGCAACAGTCTAAAATGTACACATCAAAGCTGATTTCTCAAGTGTATAAAAAGATGCCTTTGGATGATACGATAAACGGATTTTACTTGGATATCCAGAATTACATACATATTAATACTAGTCAAGAGACGCCGAGTACTGATATTGATATAAACAACTCAGTAGAGAATTTCTTCGTGGAGTTGTTTCCTTTAGCATACCAAAATGTTGTCGGTTTGCAAAACAAAGAATTTTCTGCAGAATACAAGAAGTGTATGAAGGAAACTTTCAACGATGTTCAACCCTTCGGAGAAATTCCAAAGCAGTTATCGCTGTCACTTAGCAAGAGTTTTGACGCAACCAGACTTCTTATGCAAGCGTTAGGTATCGGAGTGGAGGTATTAAATGTTACACATACACTTATCATTGAGGATAATGGAAAATCGAATATTGAATGTCACGATGCCATTATGAAAATGACTTTCTGTCATAAATGCATGGGACTTAAAGTTGACTCGAAACCATGCTCCGGTTATTGTTTGAATGTTCTTCGAGGTTGTCTTACGAAATATGTTTCCGAGCTTGATATGCCTTGGACAGTTTATATAGATTCTGTAGAGAAATTAGTTACTGCTATTAAACAGAAAAACAATGAAGCTGGTGTTAGCATAGATACAGTTATCCGAGGTTTATATACTAGGATTTCAGAATCTATCATGCATATTATGGAAATCGGAAATGATCTGCAGACTAAGGTATGTATTGATATAATTACATATATATTATAATGTTTGAAATAACTATTTTTAACATATGATCTCCAACAATATATAACCATAATTACAATTTTATCTGGAACATAGAAAAACAAGAGTTATTCTAAAGTGCTAAATTTAAAATGTTTATTTTTAAGAAAGTGTCTGATATATTTTGCAAGCGCCTGAAGCATTTGCATCATTCTTTTATATGCACAACTAAAATTTGTGCTTCAGAGTTTTTTTTTAATACACATATCTTTAGAAATATTTTGTTATATCGATTCAATATGAACAATTTTAAAAGGTGACTTTTTCAAACGCTTTCAAAGATTTTTTAAAATACTGTTATAAACCTTATATAGTAGAAGAAATAGAAAATAGGATTATTTTAGCCATATATGTAACTGTTGACTATAATCTACTTTTTCAATTTCAAAATTTATAGTAGTAATATTTTTATAATTGAATTTTAATTTGAAGACTTATATTAGGCCGCTCACAGATGGCGAGAGTCATTGGTAGGTGTAACATCATAGGGACCTGCGCATGTTTCGCCACGCCTATAATTTATTTATGTCTAATTATAAATGTTATGGGTAAGCAACGGGCAGACCGTTTGTATTCTAACCAATTGTGCCATGTAATATTATGTCTAATACAATGAATGCGCTTTTTGAATCAGTAAATTATAGTTATTATTTTCTCGTACGACAATCACTTTCATTACAGCTGACAGAGTATTTTTATTGCAATAGTCGCTATAAATATAGTTATATATTATTATATATTTTTTGAACACAACAGTGTACTATTTTTGTCTATTCTATTTATTCCGCTGAGATATAAATAAACAGTAAAATATTCTTAGAAACAGAAGTATTTTAAAATCTATTAATTGACCTAAATTTGTAAAGTTAATTGTTACTTAATCTAGTATACAAGTGACAGAACTACTTCGTCATTCAGGAGAATATAATAATATTCTATGCACGATTATGGTTATGTATGCAAATGGAAATTTTAAGATTTACAATTAACATTTATTCACTCGATAATTATTGGAGTATTGCACTTCATTGCTTGAGTTGTTTGCAATTGGCTGAAGCTAAGAATTCTTAATACAGTGATATTCAAAGTAATATCATTTAACTGTAAATAAAATGTTATTACTATATGTATTATATGTATCAATAATTAATTGATTATTATTTATGTATTTCAAATATTATATTTGTTAATTAAATATTTAATTTACTGATTATGTCATTGTAAAAATATTATGGTTTTTAGAATACTTAACGTTCACTTTATGAATGGTTAGTTGGATCACAGTATATAATAAATGCGAGATTTTTACAAAATAAGACTATTTTATCCGTATTAAAAGTCCGTATTGTATTTCTATACTAATTGATTGTTATCCATTATAGGTGAAGAAAATGTGTGGTTCTGTTACATATAATATTAATACAACGGCGGTGGTAGAGACAACTGAAAATAATTTGTCTGTAAGACAAAGTAATATCCAATATGCTACTTTCCCAGAGTCGCAAATGTCTCATTTCTTGAATACTATTTCAAAGAAACGTAGCTTTTATGCCCAGCTTGCAGATAATTTTTGCAGTGACGAAAGTTTTGCTGTTACGAAAGATCAACATTGTTGGAATGGAGACAGAATTGGAGAGTATGACAATATAAAATCTTTATTTTCTGAAAATATGTAACTGTTTACGATTTTAGGTATACAAAAACTGTGGCAGATGCAACTCTTGACATGCAGAAATACAATCCGGAAATTAAAACAAATATTAAGAATGTCGATAGTCGAGTAGCAAGTCTATCTGATAAACTGAGACATATACAACAGGTAAGATAACATAACAACATGTATGTTATAAATTTGAATATTAAATAATGATTTATATATTATTAAGATGGTAATGTCATCACTTGGAACTGTGTCTTTTCCGGAATCAGACTATATGCAAAGCGACCGTGCTGACGGTTCAGGTTCCGGTGGAGGTCCTGATATGTCCGAAGATGACGATGATGACTTAGCACGTGGATCTGGGTCTGGACATGAATCTTATGATCCGAAAGGTAATTTGTCCAGTATTTGAATAAAGACTCGTAATATTTACATATATTTTTAGAACCAGGAATTACGGAAATAGGTAAAGATGTCGATATAAAGTCCGATAAGCCAGCAAGTGGATCGAGTATGCAAAAATCTTCGTATATATTACAAATTATGTTTGTACTTTTGTCAATAGTTTTTCGACTTCTATAATTATGCTTTATTTCTGATTTTGGTTGATTGATATGGAAAGCAATAATTTATAAAACAACATTCAACACTTATATACTACAATTTTTATCAGCGTAAATATTGAATTTACTTGTTAAATTGAAAAACAAAATGTTGTGGTATTGGCTGAAATTTAAAATTGGCTGATTTTATTGTATTTAAAAAAATCAAATATTTACTATTAAAAAAAAAGAAATTGAATCTAATTATTTTTTTAGTGCATTAAATTTTGTTATTTTTTTCTTTAAGATGGATACAAAACTATTTGAAATAAAGTAAATGTATATAGCTTTGATTATATTGTAAGAGACTGTATATTTTATTAGAAAATAATTGTTTAATTCGCTGATGCCAATTACTATTATTTCATATTAATACATAGGAGTTTTTGGAGGTTAAACTGTAGAATAGCTTCCATTATTTTGTATCTAACATGGTATCAAATTTATGATTTGTAGATGCAAGCAGGCAAGCTCAAATTGATGGTCCTTCTTCCATCTTTAAAACTATCATGATTTTTTTTATTCATGAACATACTTTTTGATTTGTTGGTTAACATAAATTTAGTATTAAAAGTTCGGAAGGTCGGCACAATTGAATAATATAATAATTTAATAAATATGTGCCATACGCTTCTAGTCAAATCATACGACATCATGTTGGACGCATAAGAACTCTCCCAATAAATTGATGATTTTATAAGCTTGTTTATATTATACTACATACACACACACTCACACACATACATGTATGTATGTAACTTTGTACATCGTAATTTTAGTCATATCATTAAATATGTTTACAATTATAGTTTCTGAAAACATCACTATATAACTAGAAAATGAGAAATAGCTTTTAGAAAGTCTAAATGGTATTTTGTAATAGAAATTCCTACTATATTATAATGTAAACAAAAGAAAATATTTATATTTCTTTATTGATCGCTAAACCGTTGACATATGTAGATTTAAATATTAATTATAATGTATTAAATTATTTCTGTTTTATTTTTCATAAATGTCTGTGATTATGATATATTTTGAATTTATTGTCAAAAAAGAAGTATAGATTTTCTAAATAAGTAGAAAATTTTAACAAGATATTCAACTGAAATATGATTTTCAAGTAACGGTTATGAAATGTTTTGCCATGTTTAGCAAATATGTAACTAAATTATTAATTTATTTTTAAATGTTTTTTATAACTTACAATACAAACACGTTTATGTTGGTGTAATATATTATTGGAGAATGTACAGATAATGTTAAATTATATTTATAAATGTTTAAGATAGTTGAAAACAAATGTAAACTATATTCTTTAGATTGAAGATATTCAAAATTAATATAATACAATTTGAATCTAACGGAGAGCGATATGTTAATATGATAATTACTAAGAAATAATTTAATCGTGTCATAATAACAATAACAATAATGTATGGCATACATACACAATGGGATACGACATCAATCATTCCGGCCCGTGTCACGATAAAATAGAAAATTATTATTTTTCTCTTAATTTATTTTTTCCAAATATAATTTAGCCATGTATTTTAATTTCTCAATTTACTGTTAAATGACGCTTTAAATATAATTAAAATTACTTTTTTTAAGTTTTCTATAATTTTATCACCATTACTTTTGTTTCAGTTTGGACAATTGTTCATTTAGTATACATATATATGGTAATTCATATAATATTGACGAGTATTATTAAATTTCTATTCTCAATATTTTCAATTCAATATTTCAATGTAAAATTGGATACTGATTATATAAGAAAAATAACTTCTTAATACTTGCATGCAAAATGTTTAATTTAGAACTTTATCAACTAATACCTAGTCTTAGTATTTATATAATTTGCAATTATATTATGTTTATGTTGTGTCCTGAAAATAAAACTGTAGATGCCTTTAACTTTTATTCAATCCTCTTTGTTACAAAATATATCTTCATATCCATTAAATTTAAATAAAAAAATAAAATTAACTTATTTTTTTTGCTAACAATTCTAGACCATGATTTCACATTTATTTTTCATGGTATTATCTGACCTCATGCAATACTATAAATTTCTTGCTTTTTTAAATTTCGCGCGCTTTTTATGCGTGTGCGCACTGCAAGTAATTGAGGACAAGGGTGGTATCTGAGTTGGTATTGAAAAGAGAAGGCGGTATGTCAGCAATGTCAGTGTATTTTAGGTGCGACGTGAGAGATGTCTGTGTTGTGAAATGAAAGACAATATTTTCTTTTTCCACAATGTCTTTTATACCTTTAACTTTAGTGTGATATTAGTTTTACTACGCAATATATATGTTTCAAAGCATATACAATACTAATGTATTTATGCATCATTGAGTTTCAAAGTTGCATAGACGATTAACTTATATATTTTTATTGAATGAAATAGAGACTCAAAATGGCGCATAATATGCCTCCTTCCGTGAATTGTTCTTTGGACGATATCGACTTAACAGCCCTCAAAGTAAGTGATCTCTATTCATACAAGAATATAAAAATTCTCGAATTTAGCAATTTGATACTGAAGAAAAACATATAATAGTTGTTGATCACCGGCGATAGTAGCTAGTGATTCACACCCATGTTTATAATAATACAATATCAAGTGCTTACCATGAACAAACGCGTACAAAAGGAATTATATAAATATCGTATACATTTTGATTTGTTTATTTTATCATTTATTAATAATTTGATTATAATATTTATTTCTGCAGGATCCTGCTGGAATTTTTGAACTTATTGAAGTTGTTGGAAATGGAACCTATGGGCAGGTTTACAAGGTAAATTGTTTTAAAATAAATGCTATTAAAGATTTATTTCTAAAGTCACTTTTATATAAATGAATGTAATAATTACTTGTTTTAGTTCACAGTGTTTATATTTCAGAATTTACTAAATTTAAAGATTTTGATTTTATTTGTGTTATTAGTAATATATTATGTTTATTTTATATAGACATAGTTGATCAGTTATTGTTTAAACATTTATGATAATTGTGATTACATGATAAATATTAAATTTAAAAATGTTCAATATTCTCTAACATTTGTAGTCTATATCTAAATATGAATAATAATGCATGAAATATATTATCCATATTTAAATATAGACAACAATGCATTTTTCACTTTTCTTCAGTGGAGTATATTTGTGTGTAAGAATATGAATATATCTTATATTTATTTTAGGGTCGGCACACTAAGACTGGTCAACTTGCTGCTATTAAAGTTATGGATGTTACTGAAGATGAAGAGGAAGAAATTAAATTGGAAATTAATGTTCTTAAAAGGTACTCAAATCATAGAAACATAGCTACATACTATGGTGCTTTTATAAAAAAATCACCACCAGGAAAAGATGACCAACTTTGGCTTGTTATGGAATATTGTGGTGCAGGTATAGTGTTGATATTTTTAATTTGATGAAAAGGTAAAGTAGTTTTTTGTAGGGTCTGTTACTGATTTAGTAAAATCTACCAAAGGCCAAAGTTTGAAAGAAGAGTGGATAGCATATATATGCCGAGAAATATTAAGAGGACTGTCATATCTACATAACAACAAAGTAATTCATCGCGATATCAAAGGACAAAATGTCCTATTAACTGACAATGCAGAAGTAAAATTAGGTAGTATAAAACATTCTAATAAATACTTTACGAACATACTTGTTTGTTCTTAATATTATTTTAAAGTAAAAAAAAAAGATAGTTAACCATTAAGGCAATGAGGCATGTGCATAATTATTATTTGTGATATACATTGCTCAGGAGGCCCAACTATCCTTAATCCGCCACTGGTTTACATACACACAACTGGAACAAATATAATATATTTTATGTTTTTTCTTATAGTGGATTTTGGCGTATCCGCTCAATTGGATCGAACTATTGGTAGAAGAAATACATTTATTGGAACTCCATACTGGATGGCTCCAGAAGTCATTGCATGCGATGAAAATCCAGATGCTACTTATGACAATCGTAGTGATCTTTGGTCACTTGGAATTACTGCCCTAGAAATGGCAGAGAGTCAGCCGCCGCTTTGCGAATTACACCCAATGCGTGCTCTTTTCTTAATTCCTCGTAATGCTCCTCCTCGACTTAAAAGCAAGAAATGGAATAAAAAATTTCAAAGTAAGATTGGTCAAATTATAAATTACTTTTCAAAATTTATATATTTTTATAGGTTTTATTGAGACAGTATTAGTGAAAGATTATCATGAACGACCATATACAGAGCATCTGTTAAAACATGCTTTCATTAAGGATCAACCGACGGAGCGGCAAGTTCGAATTCAATTAAAAGATCATATTGACCGCTGTAAGAAACGTAAACAGGAAAAAGAACGAGAAGATTATAGATACTCGGGTTCAGAGAATGAAGAAGAAGAGCCGGCTTTACCGGGAGAACCAAGTAGTATTGTACAAGCGCCAGGTGGTGATACTTTAAGGAGAAATTTTCAACAAATTCAAGAAGGCAGAACACTAGGCCAGGAACAGCCTCATAGGTTATTTCTATTAGATTTATTAGCTGCTGCTGTTATTTTTAAAAATATTTTTGCAGACGTAGTAAGGATCGAGATGAAATTCCAGAACCTGGACCACCTGCCCGACCTCCCATACCACAAAGAATTATTGTTGTTCCAGATCCACCTCCGGCTCCTAGGAGGTATTTATAAGTGTACCATGTATCCAGTGAAACATTTTGTACCTGTACATAGTAATACTTTATGGAGCAATTAGGCTGTCAAACATAATTAGCTTTTAAAGCGAAAACTGTTTTAATTTTGTTTATAAAGCGGATGTGCATGTTTTGTAGGATACCTGGTACATTACAGTTTATTGTTTTAGAATTGGCTATAATACAATATTACATTTCCAGCATGATTTCTAGGCCATTGCCACCTCCTCCAGAGAGTGTTGTACCACGGCCTCAACAATCGCAGCGTAATTCACAATCTTCTCATATGTTTAAACCTTTGGTAAGTAGTTATTGTAAAGTAATCTGTATAAACATTATATATATTGTTTTTCATATTTATCAGCCACAGCATCGTAAACCAGAAGTGAGTATAAATTATGAAATACTATTCGATCATAAATGTTTTAACATATACATATTTGATTTTTCTTTATTTCAAAATATGAATATAAAACAATTATAATATTTTAGGAACTTGATGCATTAGCAGCACATTTAAATGAGTTGGGTGTACAACCGGAAGTGCCCCCTAGAAATAATCGTAATAAACAAGCACAATCAGCTGCTAATAATAATGTTGCTACCCCTTCCAATAATCATTCCGCGCAAGCAAGTGGACCTGTTGTTCTCGAAGCTCTTGTCGATAGTGATAGTGATTCCGAACCTGATGATAATGGTAGAGTCCGTAATGATGGAACATTATTGGCGAGTGATCCCCCAAAACCTCTGTAAGTTTTTAGAAATAGTATTCCTAATATTATTACAAATGCGGCCGTAGCCGTGTGGCTATGGTCGTTGGTATGGTATGGTTGTTGGTTCGACGTGGGGGCCGATAAACCCGAAAGGGGTAGACAATAGGTCCAAAAGAAATTTATATCAATAATAAATTGATATAAATCTCTTTTTTGAAATTAAAAAAATACAAATGGTAGAAAGACCTTGCTCAATATAGTAGTTAAATGTAAAATATATTTTACAAATGTGAATTTTTAAATAATTCTTATTAACGAAATATGTTCTATCCATTTATCCCATTTTTGTTTTCTTTTGAATTTTTGTTTGGTTAGTCCTGAATTTTCTTATAGGCCCGGTTTAGGTGTTGTAGCAGAAGGCTCTACTAGTAGTTCTATTCCAAGTACAACTGGTACTAGTAGTGCTCCAAACAGACCTTTGCCACCTACCCCAGATGACGAAGAATCGCAGGGAGATAAAACTCTTGTAGTTAGAAATAGGGTAAGTGTATTTTCTTCGATTTGCGTCTTTCTTTGTTGTACAATATTTTAAATTTAAACCTAAACATATTTTACACATTTTCAATAGAAAATTATTATGTTTATGGTTTAAATTTAGTACACTCGCATGCCTTCTAGTGCTAGTTTTCTCACGTGCTATGTTATTTTATATATGTTTACACATGTTTATAATGATCTATACATTAAAAATAATATAAATCGCAATCAAACGAAAACAAAAGCAGCAGTTGGCAGCCAGTCGGGAACAACAAGAAAGGGCGTATAGTAAAGATGATGAAATAGACGAAGCAACGTTACTGAAAGATTGGGACTTTGCGCGCTTTTTCCCTTCGACGTACAAGGAGCAGGAGTCAGCAGTTTCTTCGAATTGTCAATCATCCAAAATAGACGAAAGGTCCCCTCGTCATCGTCGCAATGAGAGTGATTCGAAAATCGGCCAATTTGCTCGTACTTTTCGACGCGAAAATTCCGATTTTTTCCCTATGTCTTCCCGGCATTCTGCAGTGTTTGCAGATAGGAATATTCTATTGCGATCTAGCGCCATCTTCAGCAGTCGTCGTAGTTCAGATGTTGGATTATCTAATAGCAATGGAGAGCCAGTTTTAACAGATTTTATGAAACGTGATGCGACCAAGGGAGAGGCAACCTCATTTAGATTATCTGAAAGGAAAGAGGTTTATAGTAATATAGTAGGAAGTGAAGTGCAGATACGTCCTAGACGTGAAAAAACTGAATCAGATATATTGAAGAAATATACAATAGCTAGAAAAGGGTTGAGGGAAAATAAAGAAATCAGAAATAAGGAATTGTTACATTTTACAAATGATCTGGAAAGTGATCAAAGAGGTAGTACTCGATCTTGTAACATACAGAATCTACATTCTACAAGTGATGAATATTTAAATTTGCAGGTAATTTGTTTTATATATACTGGAGATTCAACTTGTTCGTGCTTTATAACTTATTAACATTTCCAAATTAGATTTCTCATATCATCAAATTTAAAAAGAACTAAATAGTTTTGTTCATATTATGTTCAATAAATATAATTTTAGTAGTGAGGTTTCTAAACACACGAAATTTAATTTCTAATGTATAGTAGATAAATATAAACATTAATTTATACGAGTTCAATGATTTAATTTAGTTTATTTATATTTAAATAATTATTTGATGGTAGTTTTAAAATATTAATTTTGTAATTAATAAAGTGTTTCAACCTTTATCTAGCTCTTCAATTGATATAGAGGCATCATTGTTTATTAACAGCTTTATTAATAATATGTATTTAAATATGCGCGTGTGCTGCTTTTGAACTAATGAAAGTAATGTTTCCATTTTTACCAATATAATGTATTTCTATAGGATATATATATTGGTAATTAAAACTCGACAGAATGATAACCTGATTTATTTCTTTAGATGACACGTTGAAATGATGTCAAAGGGCATGAAGTTACTTTAAAATACAATTTATTTAAAATATACAATTTATATTAAAGCATGGAGATTGATGATGACTGACTGGCTGCCAAATAGTTGACTTGTGTATTTCACATGTGCACACACATATATATATATATATGTATATGTATGTATAATGTATGTGCGCGTACAATAATCTTGCAGCGATTTTATATATTTGATGCACTATAAGGTATGAGTTCAGTTGGCATGCATACTATTTTCAATATTCCATTTTTATTTGATCATTTATAATAAATTAATTCAAAACTGTTTAGTATTTAATAGACTTATTTTAAATAATAAAAATGGATTTTTGGAAATGTATATAGCTTCTTTATAACTATTACATTATGATATTAATAAATTCGTGTGTGTATTTTAATTCAAAGGGCGATGTGATTGTTGAATAGTGTCTACCCTAAATATGGATGTAATATAATGTATTTTATAGAATGGTCGAGGTAGCAGTGATCACGCAAGGCAAAGCAGTGTTCTCCCGGATTTGTTATCGCAAGCAAGTGGGAGTCCTGGCACTCCTTCATCTCGAGATAAATCTCAAAGCGAGGAGGTAAAATATGTCATATATTATATTTTAATTAATTATTCGTATAACTTATATGTCTCTAATATCTGTGTCTTTCTCTTGGTTTTGCCTAACCGAGTGGCGACGGTAACTTCATAACGTTGTAACTGTAAGTATGAATTTGTATAATCTGTTCAAATTTAAAATTATTTTATAAACCATATGTATATGTGTGTGTGTGTATATAAGTTACATCTATTTCTTGACTAACATCTATTATATTTTTTTTTTTCTTTATATAACTAAAATCAGAATATTAGATTATAAATGAGAGACTTACAATTCGAGACTTAAAATAGTTAATCATAGTTCCTCAGAACATTATTTTCAACCAAGTAAATTGTTGACAAACTATACAGTTAGTGTTATTTTTATGTAAGTAATTTGCTATATTTATATTAAAAAATAGCCAACTGTCCTTTTATATTTCAAATTTAAGTTTATTGATTATAAATATGTTAAATATGTGAAGTATATTCAATGTCGTTATTTAGATGACATGGTGAAAACAAGTTCATAGTTACATTATAACCTATTTTATTTTCTTCATTGCGACTAAACTTAAAATACTATATAAAATAGGTACTTCATTTTTTTTGATCATTTGTGTTAGATAAGCCATCTTTTTTTTTTGTAGTACCGGCAGGCCATACACGTTACGCAATCACCAAACAGAAACGCTACACCGATAAATATAAATTCGCTTGCCTTACAACAGAAACAACGTTCATTCCTTACATTTGGATTTGGCGCTGGAAGCGGAAACTCTAGGAGAGAGTCTCACGTAAATGTTAACGTGACACCGACGTCACATGATATAACATCTGATACTCCCGAAATAAGGAAGTATAAGAAGCGCTTTAATAGTGATATACTATGTGCTGCTCTTTGGGGTAATTTAGTGTTATTAATGTTATGTCAAATAAATATAAAAAATGCTACTTTATTCAGGTGTAAATTTGTTGATTGGAACCGAACATGGATTGATGTTATTAGACCGTAGTGGACAAGGAAAGGTTTACCAGCTAATATCGAGAAGAAGATTTCAACAAATGGAAGTTTTAGAAGGGCAGAACATTCTTGTCACAATTTCTGGAAAAAAAAATCGTGTTCGGGTTTATTATCTTAGTTGGCTCAAGAGCAAGATACTTCGTACCGATGGCGTAGTTGATGTAAGTAAATATAATGTTCATATGTAACTAATAGTATATAAATATATCTTTATAGCAAGTGGAAAGGAGGAATGGCTGGATTAATGTAGGCGACTTACAAGGGGCCGTGCACTTTAAAATAGTCAAATATGAACGGATAAAGTTTTTAGTTATAGCTTTAAAAGATAGTATAGAGATATACGCTTGGGCTCCAAAACCATATCATAAATTTATGGCTTTTAAAAGTTTTGCGGAATTAGCTTATAGACCACTATTGGTTGATTTAACCGTCGAAGAAGGAACAAGACTTAAGGTTATTTACGGAAGCGGTGATGGTTTCCATGCTGTTGATTTGGATTCAGCTAGTGTTTACGACATTTATATACCGAAACACGTGAGTATTATTTTATTCGATGTTACTCTTTATTCGAAGCCTATCGTGGCACCGTTAATTGCTACTTGAACTACTGCTATATACAGGAATACCTGGCATAATGCGAGGAATCGGTTCTGCCAATAACCCGTACTGTCTAAAACCGTACAACAATGAGTTTATAAAGTAGGGAGGACCACGCGTCATCCGAGGCTCGACTTTCATTTGATCACAAATAGTTGAAAAAAGTGTTTATTTCGAATTTGACAGTATTAAAATAAGATCGCGGTTTACTTGTTAAGTATAAAATTTGATCGCGACCATTTTTAGGAGAAACGTTTATCTCAAGAACTAATAAGTTGCACAACCCTGGTATAGAAGTCGCAAATAATTATTATTTATATATGAAAATATAATTTTATGTACTATCTTTTAGAATTCATTTTTATATTGCTCAATTTTCAAAACGCACTGATCGAAGTCTGACTATTAGAGGTATTCCTGTATATGGTGGAAATAACGGAAAATACGAAGTTCGTTTCTGAAAAAATATAATCTACATTGAATTTTATTACCTACCCTTTAATACCTACTTTGGGCCAAAGTCGACCGAACTTTAAGTCATTTAATCATTATTTTCCAAATTCGAATAATGCAGCTTTAGTGATCATATAATTTAAATTTACAGAATACAGTTGCTATTTCTCCGCATTGTATAGTGACGCTACCTAATAGCAATGGAATGCAACTTTTGCTATGTTACGACAATGAAGGTGTTTATGTTAGTACATATGGTCGAATATCTAAGAACGTTTTACTACAGGTAAATTATATGTACTTGGTAATTAAATATATGTATATAATTATTTTTATTTTAGTGGGGTGAAATGCCTACATCAGTCGCTTATATCGGAACTGGTCAAATCATGGGTTGGGGCAATAAGGCAATTGAAATAAGATCAGTAGAGTCCGGTCATTTAGATGGAGTATTTATGCATAAAAAAGCCCAAAGATTAAAATTTTTGTGTGAACGTAATGATAAAGTTTTTTTCTCTAGTGCTAAAAGTGGGTCATCTTGTCAAATATATTTTATGACGTTAAATAAACCAGGAATGGCTAACTGGTAACATAAATCAATATTACGACATTACTTTAAGTTTAATATTTTTTTACTATATTTTCATTAGATAGATCAGAAACGGTTGGCTTGAACATTTATATAAATTATATTTATTATTAATAGTATTAGATTTTTCTATTCGATATTTAAAAGCATAATCATTTAAATAAGTAAATATTTTAAATATTTTGAATTTTATGTATTCCATCTTGAAAACGCAGAGATGAATATGAAATATAATAATTTAGTTATATAATATAGAGCAATAATTGAATATTTATTCTTAAGTTGCTTACAAACATTAATAAAAATAATAATTTGTTTTGTCGTTGTTTAATAATATTTATATAAATATATATATGAAATACATTGTTTTATTATTTTTTATCAATTTGAATGTTAATATCTGTGCCAACCTTCAACAGTAAAATGCTCATAATATTATCTTTAGTATTCTAAAGGTAAGAAACAATAAATACATGCAAATATTATACAAATTTTATATAAAACCGAAAAAAATGAATATGACAATGTATTTTAATGTAGTAACTTTTTATATGTAGTGTTAAACATGACGTATTAATAAATAAAACTGTATTTAGATAAAGATATGTATCAAAATGTATGTCCATTTTATTTCAATTCTGCATTATAACGTCAGTTCTTGAAAGACTCCTTGAAAAATTCTGTAGAGGTAATGATATACAATATATGGTGGTATAATGGTTTCTATATTCAAAAACAAATTGCATGTATAACCATTATCATATAACAATTCTTGTTAAATGGAATATGTATTTATATTTATATACCTAAAACTAGTATAATTTAATTGAAAAATTAGTCACTACTAATCACTATGTAATAACTATTGTCATGATACAAATATAAAAGGTACACCCCACAGTCGTTCCATTTTCGTCCTATTTCGCGTATTCATATAATTAAGCCGTCCTCTAGAATTATTTCACACACGGCTGAACAGTCTTTTGTCTTCCAGATCCCGACCGATGGCATCAATTAGTCAATTAACTTTTTTTTTAAGTTTATGAGGCATCGACAGCTTAGGTCATTAGCCTCTATCACAATCACAAAGGACTCATACAAAATACAGCAACAAGTAAGTTAAAATAAATGAATTAAATATAATTAAAATAGGTAACATATTAAAATAAAGCAACAAGTAAGTTAAAATGAATTATATGTAAATATAAGTAAAATGGGTAAAAGTAACATATTAAAATCAATCGAGTGGATAGTACATTCTTTAGAATTGTAAAAGTCTCGACTCGTTCAAAAATGAAATTATAGATTCGATGGAACCCCTCTTGTTGTCGAGATCGACAACATTAATTTCTCCATTTTGCAGAAGAAATTACAGAATGAATCAACAAGTACTTGGGTAAGTGGGTATCGAACCTACTCAATCCAGCATGTAAAAGTACGAACAAAGTCAGGAACAAAAAAGGATATTTTGTTGGAATAGGCCCTACTCAATTCAACCCCTGTAATGGCTAACGGAAAGTGATCTGAAGCATATTGGAGAGGTGCAATATTTTCAGTACAATATCTGTATTTTTGGATATACATCCCAGAACTGGACAAGTGTATCTCCTTTCGAAATAATTATATTTGTTTACTGTTGTGCAATACATTTTAAATATACACTTACTGGAGTTTACTTGTAGTTCAGTTTATTTAAATCCTAAATGAAATTCTAAATAGCCTAAAACAAATTAGTGAAATTTATCCCACCTTATAGTCCTCGTAAATGTTCCTTCAATCAGTCTGGAAAGCTAAAATAAATTAAATATATCCAATGGCACTTACAAAACAACCTTGGGAATAAAGAACTAAAAGTAAATTTCACAAGGATTTTATCGCCATTCTACTAATTTAACAATACTCACTAATGAATAGACTAATACAAGTCTTAAGAAAGACTAAAATGTTTAACAAAAATAATTAAATTTATTTGGATCAGAACAAACTGGGTTGAAAGTAGTCAAGCAGTCGCGGATACAAATATGAATAGTGCGAAAACGTTAAAGCAATAAAAACTATTTGATAGGATAAAGTAATTATGTGCTCTCCATGTACTA